CAGTGTGTTTTCTGTTATGCAGAATTAACTGTAGTTTTTCTGGCTTACTTCTCCTATTAAACATGGCTGTTAGTAGCATGGTGGTTTGGGTATCTGTCAATAGATTTGTGGCTTCCTCTTCTAGCAATTCTTCATTGATCACACAACCAAGACGACAACTTTTATAGATCCCCGTGTGCCGACTGAATCCCTCTACCTGAACCCCCACAAGCTTATCCTGCCTGGGGCCCGGAGGAGAAGTAGGAGTGCGGGCGAGGAAGAGCTCAACCACTCACGAGTAAGTTGCTCAGTCCTTGCCTGTCCCTGTATGAGAGAGATACTGTCCACGTCACACAGAAAGTCATTCTTGCCCTCACCGACATTAAAACAGTGAAATTTAATACTGTTTTATCGTATAAAATTATGGGTCGTATAAGTATTACAGCATAAATATTTCGGTACGTTGAATTACCGAACTCCTTTGTATAATTGGAGTAATTGATTAGGTTTGACAGGTCATTCAAGCATAGGCTGATCATGTGTTTCAAAGAAGCAGTAGTTGATAGGTTACTTTAGTATTTCCACAATCTTCTTCTTTGCTGTCATGGCCTCATAAAATGTGAACAGAGCCCCAATGTCAAAACAGAAGCGTTCAATATGAAATGACATGGTGGTTTCTGTTTGGAATTCAGGGAAATTAAACTGTACTGAGACGGCAGGAAGAAAGAAATATCATGGATTGACCCGCACTGCATCTCCCTTGAGCTGTTATGCTTCCCTGTAGGGTGTAGTGCTCCATTGTTTTTGCCTCCAGCTGCGTAGCTATTCTGTTCACAGGAATATTTGTAGTGGTAAAGCTTCTTTCTGTGGGTTTAATATAATATTTCTGAGAACGCTGGGTGTGATGATAGTGCTTTTCTCATGGCAGAATATCTGAATGTTAGGAATAATGATAATTTACTAATTTATATGAGAAATCAGGAAAACAGAAATGAAAAACTGACTTTGTCAGAATGCCATGCACATGGAAGAAAAGAGACCGAGTTCATTAGCGGCAAATTGTTTCGGTATGTAGTTACATGTCGGTTGTCTTTATTTACACCTTGTGTTTTAACCATCATTTTAGTTTTTGAGGTAGTTAATGTGGTAAAATGAGTAAACAATTTTTCATAAATTTCGTACGGTGTTGTGTAAGTCATCGAATCATATGGAAATCCTCTGGATTTAAATGTGAGGACATGAATCCAGATTGCCTTTGCTTTCCTCAGCCCCACTAAGTGACTGTTCTGATGTGCTGCTCCTCGCCTTCCTTATTCACATGACATCCATCATCTTTCCACAAACTTTGCATCAGAACTGTAGATACAATAACGCAACACAGCTACGTCTAGTAATAGCTTGGCTCCCAGTCTACGTCTTTATCTTGAATGGAGGAGCGTATGTGTTTGTGCAGGTCGGCTTTTCTGTGTTTTTCTAATGAACTGGAAGCATTGCTTACTATCTTGCATGTGTTCCTGATCCATGGCATTGCCTTAAGATGTTTAAGATTTGATGGCAGAATTTCGGTTGGTGTCTGTTGTGCTGTACAGGTCACCCATGCAGATTAGATTGGACTTTGTGACACTAGTGTCGGAAACATTATACAAAAATTGTCTTAGTCTTTGAAAATGGCATTTCCATTGGCTCTGCATACATTTCATGCATGTGACATATTTTGAAACATGAGTACACATTTTATTAAATATTTATCTCATCTATGTATTGCAGTTTCCAGAAAGTTGGTTCAGTATAACAGATCATGAAGAACGCAAGTTGTCAGATTGTGAGTTGGATTGAACTGCACTTAATATCAGACTTCGCAGGAATAAC